CTTGTGTCTACTAAGATATGCTATTTGACATTGCTATTATTATAAGTAAGTACTTTTTGTTTTAAAATTGTTTTTAAATAACCTGTCCTACTATGAAACATTTTTAGGGTCTCTTTTGCATTAAAATATATATTAGTTCATATACTTGAATATTAATTGTTAATAAGTCAAATTTGGGTATATTACCTAAACTAAAAAGAAATTTAAATATTTTATTATTTGATAGTAATAAAATATACAGTTAGACCTGCCTAAATGTATACGTATTCTCTAAATACATAGTTTATAAAAACCTTTCTAAAGGCATATATAGTCTCATTTGCCTCAACTCATATAACACTTGTAGATTTTTACTTTTTTAAATGCAATACCTCTCTAAATACAAGATTTTTTGCTACTTCTTGGCTATGCATTTAGAGAGATCTGACTATATATAATAATTGAAATTCAAATATCATAGTACACTACCAGGGTCTAATACAAAATAGCTATTAAAAAAACACAAAAAACTTAGATATATTATACAGTAATAGATCTGTGTCATTTATATATATACTTCGCATTCATGATAAACAGTCTAGAAATTTTAAAAAACCTAATAGAGATCTCGAAGGATGATATTGAAAAAGGTATATTTTGGTTAGTACTTATATATGCATATATATATATATATATATATATTAATTAAAGAGCAATTGTAATTCATTAAATAGGGTCCTTAAATTCTATTTATATTGTGAATTATTGTCAGATAAACAATATCCTCAACCTTCAAAATAATTATCATATTCTCATTATATATATATATAATTTCTTCAATTTTACTTGTCGATACTTCGACCTATACGTCTAAAAATTAGCCAAATTCTTCCAAAGAGGTCTTGTCATTATAGTTTTTATTCAAAGCAAGATCTGCTGATTTATCATATTCTGCAGATTTATTAGATTCTGCAAATTTATCAGGTTTTGCAGGTTCTACAAATTCATCAAGTTCTGGAACTTTATTACTTGATTCTTTATTTAGTTAAATATTTGGTTGATTATTATTTATTGTTTTATTTTCATCTTCAAAATCAGGTAGAAATATCTCAACAGGGTTTGATTTATGTAAATATTTTCATGCGATAGAAGCTTTTAATTTGCTTATATTAAGAGCCTTTTGCGATTAAATAAAAATTTATTTAATATTAAATAAAAAAATTTATGAAATTTATATAAAAACAAAATAAAATAAAAAATTACTATTAGTCGATTTCTCCAATTGTTTTGGAAAAAGCTTATACAACTCCAAAGATACTCAATAGCAATAGCATTAATACAAATCTCATATAATCGACATGCAA